AAACCTCTCTTCTAAACCAACTTTTCTTCTCATACCTGTTCTTTTCTGTACTCTCTTGTTTAAAAAAACAAAAACAAAAACAAAAACTAGCACAGTGGTGAACATCCCAGGAAGAAGGATTGGTTCTCAGTATTGAAACATTTATTTTTATTTTTTTATTTTTTTTAAGTCTATTTTTAATATTTATTTAGAGAGAGAGTGAGCAGGGGATGTGCACAGGGAGAGGGAGACAGAGAATCCCAAGCAGGCTCTGTGTTGTCAGTGTGACATGGGGCTTGATCTCCCAAACCATGACCTGAGCCAAGATCAAGAGTTGGAAGCTTAACCGGCTGAGCCACCCTAGCACCCCTCAGTATTGAAAATTTTAATTACAAGTAGCATAGTGCCTTGATTACCATTCTAGTACATTTTTTTGGTCCAAGAGAGGGGTTGGCAAACTGTGGCCTGTGGGTGAGATCCATCCAGCTTGATACTTGTTGATGTAAATAAAGTAAAATAAATACATATTTATGTTACATGTTTTCTGTGGCTGCTTTCATGCTACAGTGGTAGTCTTGAATTGTTGTAACTATCTGACCCACAAAGCCTAAAATACTTATTTTCTGGCCTTGTATAGAAAAAGTTTGCCCACCCTGTACTATACGCAGAAATAAAATGAGTCATTTCTGTCTGGTGAAAACTCACGTTTTCTCGGAGACTCATAGGTACCACTCGTGATAATAAGGGTGGCACCATCCAAGAAACTGGCACTAGTCTTAAAAGTCTTTCTCTACCACATTCATTGAGATAGCATTGTGAACACAGTACTCATCACATCAGAAATAAGCACTTTCTGTAGAGCACTTAACTTACCCATGTGGATGTATGTGGTCCTCCAAGAGCCTTCTAAAAAAGCACTTTATAAAGCTGCTTCCCTTGTGTCTGGCTTTGCTCTTATAACCCTTGCCTGCCCTAAGAGTTAATACTTGAGAAGAGAGACCTCAATTAACAGTGTACCAGGATTAGGCCTGGTGGGAGGAGGGTCCACAGAAGGAAATCAAGAAATTTCCAAGGCCTCTGTTGTTGGTACTGGGAGGATTAGAAGAATCCTAGGGGCGCCTGGGTGGCGCAGTCGGTTAGGCGTCCGACTTCAGCCAGGTCACGATCTCGCGGTCCGTGAGTTCGAGCCCCGCGTCGGGCTCTGGGCTGATGGCTCGGAGCCTGGAGCCTGTTTCCGATTCTGTGTCTCCCTCTCTCTCTGCCCCTCCCCCGTTCATGCTCTGTCTCTCTCTGTCCCAAAAATAAATAAACGTTGGAAAAAAAAAATTAAAAAAAAAAAGAATCCTACAGAAGATCTGTCCTAGTAACTACCTCTTGCCAAGGTACATGAGTAAAATGAGTAGCATCAAGAATGCAACAGGAGTTTTTTTGTCGAGTGAACAATCTTTATACACTTTGTGCTGTGTAGCAAGGACTTAGGAGTTAGAGAATACCATTAATTTCTCATGTCTTTTATCAGGGTCTTGCCCCTGTCTATTTTGAGTTTATCTGCTGCACCATTCATGGCTTCAGGGAAGTGTTTCAAGGGTCCTTTTCTTTAAATCAGTATCTCGTTTTATCATCTTCCTGTTATTCATCACTTATTTATTGATTTTTGGTTATTTGAAATTCTCCTACCTAAAAAAAAATGGTTTTGTGTAATAAAATGTAATTTTTATAGGCAATAGCAATCAATTCAATGTTCAAAACTGAGAAATACCAGGTACATTAACTTTTTCCCCCCTTAATCTCTAGATGCTATCTCATGGCCAATATCATTAAGCCTAAAATTCCAGCCGCCAGTCTTATTTTGTCAGAAAGTAATTGTTTTCTTTTAAAATCATGACAGAGCCATTCTGTTAGATATAACTAATTATTACCTGGGAGTTGAATATGTTGAGATGACTTAGTTTTTAATCATAATTCATGTGAGAAGGACACATTTTATTGTTGTTCTTCTCAATTTATATTCATCAGAAAAAGTCAATACTTACAGTATTTTTCTTGATACAGGATAATATAAAAATAGGATTATTAATAAGGGCACATTTTACTTTGGATCTAAAGGGTAACTACATCATGGTTTTGATTTTAAATGAGATATATATAAATTTGATATGTATGCTGAGGATCTTCGTACAGATTTAGGATATTCTTAATCTTTATGTAACCAATAGTAATATATACTTATTTCTGTTTTGGTTATTTTTGAAGATGCTTTTAGTAGACTATTATACCTTAAAATATTACGAAGTTTTTCACCAAGACCTTAAGCTAAACGGTTTCTAGTATAATTTTTCCTGAGTTGTTTATCCTCTGAATAAAATTTGTTTCTTTTCAAGGGCTAACTAGTTGCCAGGCCCAAAGGTACAAGAGGAGACCTAGAGTCTGTTATTTTGGTGGAGTTACATTAGGAAAATACCAGGAAGCCTTAATACACTGTCAGCCTTTTCTGACCTGAACGTGTTCTTTTTTTTTTTTTTTGACCTGAACGTGTTCTTAAAATTAGTATGTAGACAAAGCCTCTTAGGGGGGAAATAAATCAAAGTTGAAGTCATTGCACATTTGTTAAAATTATAGCCTCCTTTTTCATAGACATGTTTTATGCTTTGCTAAATTTCTAAAATTTATAACTTGTTAGTCATTGCTTTGTAAAGAAGCATTCAGAGTTCTTGATTTATATAGTAATAAAACTACTCAATTTTTCCAACCTTCTTTGTGTAAAGAGCTTTCTGAAGGGCGTGCTTTCTTTTTACGTTTCTATTTATTTAATGTGCACCTATTTACATTTTATAGCAGACATCTATACATAAAGGAGAGTATAGTTGTATAATGACTTAAGGTTCTTTGTTCCATTTCATAATTACAAAGAATAATATCTTTAGTTGATTTCAGTTGCATATAAATGTCATATTCAGTATTCCCAGAACAGAACTTGTATTATTAAAAAATCCACGGAATGCTTAAATATATTCAGAATATATTCCAATAATTTAAATTCTATTGAATATAATATTATTTGTAAAATACACATTATATGACATAAATACTTATGTTTATCCATTCCATTCTTACTGGATTTCACACATAGCTTCCAAGCCCTCCTAGCTCTTTGTTACTCTGTGATTTACTCACTTGCATGGGTTTATAATTATTCTGCATTTATGCCATGTGTAATTTTGATCTGATGTTTCTTTTTTCTATTAATGTAAGCTATTTATAGTAGCACAGCCAATTTTTCATTTGCCATGATAAATGAGGAAAGAGCACAACATAAAAAATTACAATTTAAAAATAATTTTGAGATCTCGGTCAAGCCAGTATTTTTGTTTAGGTTTTTTCTTCGCTGACAATTTCTGCAGCCACTGTACTACTTCAAAAAGTATTTCAGCATTACACCTAAGAAGAAGCCAGATGGACAGCTTGTATTATTTCATTTTAGTTGATGAATCTGGTTTGTGTTAGAAGTGCTGAGTGAATGATTCATGACTAGAAGATGAGGGTGGCACATGGAGGTGACAAAAAGCAGAGTTTTAGATAATCCACATGCTGAATAATCCTCCCTTGAAAAACAGCAAATGAAATAAACATTTCACAGAATGCTTTTTTTCTCATTTGTCATAAGAATATATTTTTCTGAGAAAAAAAAATGCTACTACAGAAAACACCATAATAAAATACATATTCTGTCCATAGAAAGCACTCAAATAATCCTACTTAATAAAGAACTTCTCCGATTCTGATCCTTTTAAAGTATGAAGTGATTGTTGAGATGTTTTGCGAACCCTTAGTTATAGTATTAGTACATCCTGGGATCTTTTATTGTTACTTTTCAGGCATTTCACTTATATAAAAATGGTCATACCATGTTTACATTGTAGTCATGGAAGAGAAATCTTTTAGCCCTGCCATCTAGTTGAAATTGCCCTGAAGATTCCTCCTATTTATAAACAATCAAGATGCAGCCCGGACTAAGTCCCAAATGGTTGCAGAGTTCTATACCTCATTTCATTGTCCTACTGGAAATTTATATTCATTTATTTCTGCTCCCTACCCACTACTGAGAGGGCTAACATAGGTTGTCAAGGTGAGGAATGCATTTCAGACAGTCTCCAGATTTTTAAAATTTCACTATCAGAAATCATTTTATCTTATAGAGTTCATTTTAAGAGTTCTTTAAACCTGCATTCCTTTGCAACCAATATCATTTCCAAACCTTTTATTGGCTTTGTGGAGATATTTGGCTACAGCTAATGGTGTTCTTAAATTTTTTCAGAGAGTTCTTGTAGACTCATGCAACCAGTAATGTTCATTAAATACTGTGATTTAATTATTACCAACATTATACTTCATTCATTGAACTTCTTAGATCCATTTGGACACTTCATTTTTTCTTAAAAAACACAACATGATGGGTATTAAGGAGGGGACTCTTGTTGTGATGAGCACTGAATGTTGTATGTAAGTGATGAATAACTAAATTTTATACCTGAAACTAATATTACATTGTATGTTGAGTTAAAAAAACCCAAAATAAGAAACGAACCCAAAACTCTGTGAAGGTAATCTCAGAAATTTGCTGTCTTGCAGTTTGAGTGATCTTAAAACTTAAGCGGCTTTCCAGATGGCCACTCACCACTTGCAAAGTGGTCAGGTGACTTTTAAACAACGTTAATTCATTCATGTGATTACTTCAATTGAGAATGCCCTGAGAGGAGAAAAGAGGAAACTGGATTGCAAAGCTGACTTAAATCCCTTACTGTTAAAACCTGATTATGTATGTTGACATTTTGCCCCACTGTTCAGCATTCCTTTTCAGTTCACATCATGCTGAATTACATGCAGATCATTGTTTTTAGAATATTTTGGAAAAAGGTGACAGTACATTTTCTTAAATTGTAACAAGTTTGAAATTTAGTGTTTTATGATGGAAAATTTTTGAGTATTCTAATGGCTTTTTAAAAAAATCATTTATTTGCTAGGTAAGTTCTCTTCTACGCTTTATGAGACTGGTGGCTGTGATATGTCACTTGTGAATTTTGAACCGGCAGCAAGAAGAGCATCTAATATCTGGTATGTGTGAAGTCCTATTAGGAGAGCGTATGTACTTGCATATATTTGCCATGTTTAAAGCTTTGAAGCCTTGCGATGGAAAAGTGCTTTTGAAAATATTTGTTCGTGTTGGCTTAAATAATTTTGTCATTGTGTATTTGTCCCCGAAGATGTAAGGTAGAATTTATTGCTCTGGAAAAAAAGAAAGCATTATTCTTAAAATGAAAGCTCTTCAGGGGCGCCTGGGTGGCGCAGTCGGTTAAGCGTCCGACTTCAGCCAGGTCACGATCTCGCGGTCCGTGGGTTCGAGCCCCGCATCGGGCTCTGGGCTGATGGCTCAGAGCCTGGAATCTGTTTCCGATTCTGTGTCTCCCTCTCTCTCTGCCCCTCCCCCGTTCATGCTCTGTCTCTCTCTGTCCCAAAAATAAATAAACGTTGAAAAAAAAAAAATTAAAAAAAAAAAAAATGAAAGCTGTTCTGTATTTTAAATAATTAAGTAAGAATTCCCTGTGGATCTTACAGTGGGATAGTGGTTTCCCACAATTTCAAGTTTAACTCTAGATTTCATGCTACACACACACACACACACACACACACACACACACACACACACACACTGCATGATGTATAAAAAAGCTTCTTAAAGCTTATTAGGAAAATAATTATACTACTAACTTCAAACTCATCAGGTCTCTTTGTAATTGAAAAATTTTATTTCTTCATAAGGGTTTTTTGATCGTGTCTTTTTACATGATCATCTTTCCTTGTGTTTTGAAATTTATTTATCACCAATAAGAAAGAGGAATTTCTTAAAACATGGGTCATCTGTTATATTTAGTTTCTTTTCTCTCCTTCCCTTAGGAAGAAATTACACTGTAAGATAAGGGAGAAATTAGGAGAAAAGCAAATAAGAACTAGAAATCTTGATGGCATAATCAGTTCTAATGTAGAATGTATTAGATTTTTTTCTTAAATTCTAATATTATTCATCTATTCAGGTTGCTGCCTTGAGGTCCATTAGTGACTGATTAGCTCATTTTTTTCACAGGGGTCATTTTATTTGATTCCTGTTTTAGGACTTATTTAATAATGGGACACACCTGTTTAAATATTACACATGTATGTATGGGCAGTTCACTTAGTTTTTTAAAGTTTTTAGGGGCCATTAATTTTTTTTTTATTAATGCTTATTTATATTTGAGAGAGAATGTGCGAGTGGGGGAGGGGCAGAGAGAGAGTTGGAGACAGAATCTGAACCAGGCTCCAGGTTCTGAGCTGTCAGCACAGAGCCCAACGCGGGGCTCAAACCCACGAACTGTGAGATTATGACCTGAACCAAAGTCAGCTGCTTAACCAACTGAGTCACCCAGGTGCCCCATAGGGGTCTTTTAAAGCAATAGGATCTTGTAGTCACTTAGCTTAATCCACTGAAAAGATAGAACATGTAGAAAACTATACTCACTCAGCTCCTTTAGTTCAGTTTTGGAACTGATCCTGTTGAGAATGACCAGCTTGGAGTGTTAGGTGATTTTGTAATAGTAGAAACAATAGAAAGATGGAGCAATGGAAACAATTATGTTTAATATAATTTAAGAATGATTCCTTACAGCATAAATGTGGTAAGGTCTCAAGTTTCAAAAACGAAACTTGACTGTGGAAACAGATTTGTCACATTCTAGGCTGTTATATTATAGCTTAAATATGTTAATTGCTTTCTTAAACACTCTCCATAAGAACTTTGTGACAGAGGCATTATTCTCCTGTGTTAGTGATGCGGAAACTGAGGGGTTTAAAAGGCTGGATAACTTGTCCAAGATCTCATTTAGCTGATGAAGAGATTTGAATATAGATACTCTGGCCCAGAGGCTGTGCTCTTAATTACATCTGTAGGAAAATGCTATTTCGCATTTTGAAGTACAAGGAACAGTGAAGAATATAAATGTCATCTCATTGTTAAAAGATGTATTTTTCCTTCTATTCCTTGACAAGCTGTTTATTTCCTGAAGTTTTTTTCATTTTATTTTAGTGACACGGATTCTCATGTATCCAGTTCTACCTCAGTTCGATTTTATCCACATGATGTGGTAGGTTTTCCTTTACTTTTAGAAAACGATGTGTATTCAGATTTAGTTACACAAATCAGAAAAATTGAAGTTATAAAATGTCAATTTTGTTGTAAACTATGGCAAAATCACCTTTGCTGTCTCCTCGTGGATCTTTTCCTGTAAGTCCCTTGTTAGTAAACAAACCTAAAACACCGTGAAATGTAATTAGCTATGTATGAATCAGTAATTACACTTTTGAGGTTATATAAAGGTTCATTTACTGACCAATGTTATAATCTGTGCCATTTTAAAACTTCATTTTGAAAATTATGATTTTGAATATCATCTGACGTAACTGTTAGTTATTCACATGCCAGTATGTGTGTAGCAAGCTTAGTGATGGTATCACTGTGTAAAAAAATATGCCGTGTGAGATACAGTGGGGATATTTTAAAAAGATAACACTGCTTTTGTCTTCAAGATGTTTATATTGAACTTAGAAAAGACAAAACAGATGAAATTCTTATGTGGAACGCATAAGAGATACATATAAATAAGTGTGCCAAAGGGATTAATTATTAGTGGCTTCCTGGAGATGATTAGTTGTGAGCTGGGTTTTAAGACCATAGATGTGAGTTGGCATAGACCAGTGGTTTTGAACATTTGGCAATGTCTGGAAACACTTCCGTTTGTCACAGCTAGGAGAAATGCTACTGGCATCTGCTGGATAGAAGCCAGGGATACTATAAAACATCGCACAGTGGACAGCACAGCCCCTAAAACAAAGAATTATCTGGCTGAAAATACCTGTAGTGCCAAGGTTGAGAAACCCTGGCATAGAGGATAAGAAAAAAAGTGTTTGGGGAGGTATTTGCCAGTGTTTAGAGATAAAAATGGCTACGTTATTTATAGGAAGCAAATTTTCTTTACTGTTTCCCACATATGTGTTTGAAAAGTAAAGGTTGTCTCTGCTTTTTTGCTGGCGTGTATTCCAGGAAATTTCATAGGAAAGTAAAGAATAGGGATATGATTATTTTTTTTTGTCTGTTTTTCACTGTTAAATAGTATGGGATCTTTGGGATAGTGAAATGCTGACTAGGGCTGTGCTACATTTGGGAAATTTTAGACTTTCATTTTTATTTTTATTTATGTTATTATTTTTAACATTTTTTAATGTTTATTTTTGAGAGAGAGAGAGAGAGAGTGAGCAGGGGAGGAGCAGGCAGAGACAGAGTCACAGAATCCGAAGCAGGCTCCAGGGGCTCGAACATGGGGCTCGAACTCATGAGCCATGAGATCATTACCTGAGCCTAAGTCAGACGAAACCGACTGAGCCACCTAGGCACCCCTCAATTTAATTAAAAAAAATTTTTTTTAATGTTTATTTATTTTTGGGAGAGACAGAGAATGAGCACGCACGAACAAGGGGCGGAGAGAGAAGGAGAGAGAGAATCCCAAGCAGATTCTTCACTGTGAGCACAGAGCACGTTGTGGGAGGCCCAGTCCCATGAACTGTGAGACCATGACCTGAGCTGAAATCAAGAGGCAGACACTGAACCAATTGAGCCACCCAGGGACCCCCTAGACTCTTTCAGAGGAAGGGAAAACTGGTGAACTGTTGAATGGATGAGTTAAAGCTAAGAGATGTAATGTGGTAATTTCCTGTATAGCGTCAGGTGAGCAGCCTGCCAAAACACAACAAAAGTGAAGGAGATGTAGGAGGGATTTGAAAACTACAGTGATAGAGACTGTAGGAAGAAATGAGAATTGAAAGCATTGAACCCAGTTCAGAGGAGCTTAGATTTAGTATAGCTTAATGAGACAAGGCCACAAACGTGACAGGGAGAAGGGAAGCCACTAATGATACACTGTAAGTGATTTTTATAGATTTGCTGGCTATACAGTCATAACATGTAAAGATTCTGAATATTTTTCCCAGTACAACTTTTCTAAAAACCTATTGATTAGTTTGCTTTAAGTATATGTCCTATTATCACCTTCTGTAGTTTTTAATGATCATAAAATATCCATAAGGAGTGTAGAGAATTGAGGGGGCTTAGATAATCCACAAGCTGATTAAGTAGCCCTTGAATCATGACTTGAGTAAAGATGTTTTAAGCCTTTCAGTGCTGACTTTCTTTTAGCTCTCTCTTCCACAGATTCGGTTGAACAGACTATTGACGATCGATACAGATTTGTTGGAGCAGCAAGACATTGACCTCAGCCCTGACTTGGCAGCGACTTATGGTCCAACCGAAGAAGCTGCTCAAAAGGTTAAACACTATTACCGCTTTTGGATCTTACCCCAGCTGTGGATCGGCATTAACTTTGACAGACTCACACTTTTGGCCCTGTTTGATAGGTGAGAATGTGGTGTGATATTAAAGATGTATGTAGATTTTATTTTTAAATTGAAATGTCCCCAATTACCCATTGAAGTTTTTACTTGGTTACCAAGTTGGAAAATGTTTTCTGTTTTGGTCCTTTTTGACATAAAATTTAACTTAGTAGGGCTCGCAAACATTGACTCTCTTGAATTCATTAAAAATTTTTTTGTGGCAATTTTAATATGTTTATACCAAGAAATCTTTTTTATTGTCAATAAGAATCATGGAACTCTACTTAAAAGCCAGAGAATTGGAGGTGTTAGTGATCACAAGGTTATAGGTAATATGACTCTAAATATAAAAGGTATTAGAGCACTCTTTGTATTTCCCTATTTCGTAGCACTAGTCTTAATAATGAGCAATATTAGTCTATTAAAACTTGGTGCTTCCTGTTGACGGAAGTAAAAAAGATTGGGTTTACTCTCCTATCTGAAACAATGAAAGAAGAAAAATGCACAAAACCTTGGTTTTTAAGGCATCGGAGGTACAACAAAAAGGACAGTGATTCCCAAGAGATGAAACACGTTATGGGAGCCCTACAATTGCCCCAGCTTACTGCCTTAAGGGAGTTTCCAGGCTTCGTCGCCGGCTGCAACACGGGGAGGAGGTACTGAAATAGAGCCCAGCAGACTTCCTGAGTTGAGGAAATGGAGCCACGAGTCCAGGGAGACCAAGGCATCCAGCTCAGAATGTCAAAAAGAGGACTGCTGTTCACAGGGAGAACCTCTGAGTTCCACAGCAGGTCTCCACAGCTGTCAGCAGAGCACTGACACGTGAGTGTATGTGAGGAAACTACCTGAGGCCAGGGGAGAAGCATGTGAAAGAAATAGAGGAACAGTGTCTGACACACAGGGACAGGAATAGTGTCTGTTCCCATCTGTCTGAATGAAAAAACTCATAATTCAAGTTTTATGGTGCATTGTGTAGAGTACTCAGGAAAGTCTTGCCTGAAAAGTGGGCAGTAATTAGCCCTAGCATGAGCACTGCTCCAGACCCACCAAATGAGTCATAAAAGCAAGACCTAAAATGATCAAACTGTTTCCAAGTAGCGTAACAAAGTTCAAGAAGACTTAACAGAAATCTAAAAATTGTTAACCACCTAAAACTTTTCACAGCGGCATCCAACCAAAGATAACAAAGCATGCAAAGAAGCAGTAAAACATGATTTATAATGAGGGCAATAATGAATCCATTGAAACCAACCTATAATTATCACAGATGTTAGAATTAGCTGTCAAAGACATTAAAAAAAAGTATAATTGGGGATGCCTGGGTGGCTCAGTTGGTTAAGCATTTGACTCTTGATGTAGGCGCAGGTCATGATCTCAGTGCCTGAGATCAAGCCGCATGGGGCTCTGTTGTGATAACACAGAACCTGTTTGGGATTCCCTTTCTCTCTCCCTGTCTCTTTTCTGGTCTCACACACACAAGCACTTCCTCTCCCTCTCTCCCTCCCTCTCTCCCTCTCTCCCTCTCTATGTCTCTCTCTCTCTCCCTTTCTCTCTGTCTCTCTGTCTCTCAAATAAACTTGAAAAAAAATTAAAACAAGGGGCACCTGGGTAGTGGGTTGAATGTCTGATCTCACAGTTTGTGGGGTTGAGCCCCACATCAGACTTTGCTCTGACAGCGTGGAGTCTGCTTCAGATTCTCTGTCTCCCTCTTTCTTTGCCCCTCCCCCCTTGCACTCTTTCAAAAATAAATAAATATTAAAAATAAATAAGTAAAAAATAAGTATTAATTGTACTCTGTGTTAAAAAAGTTGAGACATGAGAGTTATTTTTAAAGATCCAAAACAAACTTATTGAAATAGTTCTTTTATAGAGATGAAACTACAATGTCTGAGAGATGAAAAATAAAACAGATGGGATTAATGGTAGATTAGATATCACAGAAGAAAATATTAGTGAACTTGAAAGCATAGCAATAGAAACTATCCAAAATGAAACAGAGAAAAGAGAATATAAATAAAATGAAAGTAAGCTGTGAGACAACTTCAAGAGACAGGAAGAGAGAAAAAATTTGGAAGAAGAGTTGGAAAACTTTCCAAATTTGATGAAAATGCTAAACATACACATTCAAAAATGTTCATGAACCCCAAGCACACGAAACATGAAGAAAACTACACCAGAGCACGTAATTGCTCAAAACTTGTAAAAATCTTTAAAAACTGCAAGAGGACAAAAAGACTGTTGTACAGAGGAATAAGGATAAGGAAGACATTAGATTTATTGTTGGAAATAACGCAAGTAAGAAGAAAGTGGATCAACATTTTTTAAGTACTGAAAGGAAAAAAACCCACAAAACTGTCAACCTAGAATTCTTTACCCAGAAAAAGTATCTTTTAAAAGTGAAGATGAAATAAAGATATTTTCAGACTGCAAAAAACAGAGAAGTTTTGCAGGCAGACCCACACTGCAGAATGTTGAAGGATATATTTCAGGCAGAAGGAAAATAATACCAAATGGAAATACAGACCTACCCAAAGGAACAAGGATCACTGGTAATGGTAAGTTAACTACATGGCTAAATATACGATATTTTTTTTCTTGCTAATTCAGTCCCTTTAATAATTGGATATTTAAAAAAAACAATAACAATGTATTGTGTGATTTATGACAAGTAAAAGTAAAGTGCATGACAGTACCATAAGGCTGGGAAGGGACCTATAAAAGCATACTGCTCTTAAGTTTCTTATGTGAGTATATGAACTGGTATAACATCACTCGTAGCACACTGCCATAAAATGTATGTTATAATCCTAATAAACCAACCACTAAAATGTAAGAGTTCCAGCTAGGAAGTTAAAAAGGGAGATAAAATGGATTCATAAAAATTACTCTTTTAACCTAAAAGAAGGCAGAAAAAGAAGGAAAAGAGATCAAGAACATATCGACAGATAGAAAATAAATGACAAGATAGAAAAAGTCAAAAATTGAATTGGGGGAAGAAAGCAAGACCCAACTTTGTTGTCTATAAGAAATTTCTGCCTTTAAATATAAAGGCAGAAATAGGTTAAAAGTAAAAGAATTGAGAAAGATATACCATGCTGATACTAATCAAAGTAAAGCTGGAATAGCAGTATTATTGTCAGACACAGTAGATTTTAGAACAAAGAATATTACTAAGGATAAAGAAAGTCATTTTTATAAAGATAAGGGGTCAGCTCATTCATAGGATTCAATCATCCTGTATGTTTTTACACTTAAAGCAGAGCTTCAAAATAAAAGCTAATAGAAATAGAAACGGGGCACCTGGATGGCTCAGTCGGTTGAGCATCTGACTCTTGGTTTCAGCTCAGGTCATGATCTCATGGTTTATGAGTTCGAGCCCCATGTCAGGCCCTGCCCTGACAGCGTGGAGCCTGACTGTGATTCTCTCTGCTCCTCTCTGGCGCGCACGCGCTCTCTCTCTCTCTCTCTCTCTTTCTCAAAATAGATAAATTAAAAAAAAAAAAAAAAA